CCCGAGAGACTCCCTCATAATGGGCACAAAAACCCAACCGCAATTGGCCAAAGGTGAGTGGGCGAGAGAAAGTTAAGTGGCTGATGTTTTATCAAGTATTCTGATGAAGAACAGTGAAGATAATTAAGCTTATTTTAGAATAAACAATGCCTTCTATTAAGTCTGTTGGTTAACGAATAAATAGCTAATTTACAAGCCCTTGTTTGCTGTTCACTTAACTTAGCTTAAAATCTAAACCGATGCTTCACTACGAGTATGCAAGCTGACATAGTTTAAGTAGTGTTCTTACTTAAAAACAATTAGGAATTTAAAGGATTAAAAACGTGTTCATTTTAAAGTCTAAAATCATTTTAGTGTCTATTAAAACATTTTATAATAGACACATTTATTTATTTTCAAATCTAAATTATTTTCAATCGACCGTTCAGAATATGATTTTTAATATAATTCGATGCGTAATTAAGATAAAAAGGACGAAATACAAAATAGGCTCCTTTGTTTGTTCTTTTTTAATAGATAAAAAAATATGCATATAGATATTTATATAAATTATAGCTTTCCAGATCAGTATTACGCATCGTATTATGCTGATTTTTCCACATCACAGAAAAACAATTAAATAACCATTAATATATCAAAAGATAATACAAAGCTGGAATCACGAATCAATAACGAATATAACATAAATACGATTCCCGCCACAAATTGATTTTGCTCAAAGCCTTTGGCAGTTTTAGATTGGGAAATCTCGCTGCTGGGGTGGCAAAAAGTTGAACAGTTGTTACTGATTTCGGCCAGATAGTGACCCAGTTCTTTGGCGTTACTAAACCAATTGCAGGGGAAGTCGAGGAGAAACTCTAACAGCAAGCCGTCCATTGCTCGATTTTGGCCATGACACTATTCCACAAAGGTACTGTTAGGTATACAAGAGTGTGTGAGTGTGGGGGAGTCCAAGTAAGTGTGAGTGCGTGTGCGTGAGTGCCTTGAGCTTGGTCAAAACGGCACTTCGATTTATTAGACGCCTTGTTTTGGCCGCTCAATGAATGAAATGAATGAATGCGAATAATTCCGATTCGAGGAAAGCAAGGGAGGGTACTTGTTGACTTGTAAGTACGTACCCACAGAGTAATACACTTATCAGCACCACTAAGTAAGGCAAGTTCATAACTTAATATTTGGCAAAGGTGGGGCAAAACCGACCGGAGACCTCAATGTAATGAGTAATGAGATTTATTTGCTTACTAAGTTTAGCTTTGAATGTACTTTAATGCTGTTCGTTCATAGTAAAAGTTTTTGAATTTTTTTATTGATAATTAAGAAACATAAATCTTAACTAATTAAATGAACATCAAATTTCATATTCTAAACCAAATCATTGAGAGCTTCGCCACAAAGCAAATGGCTTTTCAAACTTTTTACAACCGTTCTGAGACAAATATCTGTATCTTTAAAATTACCAAGTTAAGTTAGTTTGTGATCTTTAAACTCAATTTAGAGGTGTTTTACAGAAAAACAAATTTAAAAATTCAAGTTGTAAAAGTTTTACTGAACTGTGGCTCGAACGAAGAAAAATAGTAGAGAAAATCCGAAACAAAGTGAACCCAACTTTTAGGAAACTATTCCTTTCTGTGAACTTAATTAGGTAGTAAATCAAGTGCTATTTTTCGGTGCTTTTCCAATAGCTTTTGATGATGGGGCTATTTGCTTAATTACTATATACACACCTCTTGAGATCTTCAAAGGAATTCCAAGAATGTGATTTTGTTTGTAACCACATAAACCGCACATTAAATTTATACAATCAATCTTTTTGAAATTTTTTATTCAATAGAAAAGCGTTTCATATACACATATACTTTTTGCTCTTTTGATTGCTTCGCTGATTGAATTTGTCTTGTTCTGGAAGTAAAAAAAAATAAAATAATGCAATGTCTATGGGGTATGATTACCATTTCCCTTCCCCTCGGCAATCATTCATTAACCCATATGCGCCAGTTCTTCAAGCGTCAATAATATTCTTTTTTTTCGTCTGACATTGACATTGCTGCCCATGTGAATGAAAAGAGAGAGAGGAGAGTGTGTGAGAGCACGCTTTCTCTTGTTTGTTTTATTCACGTGCGAGAGCGAGGGAGAGAACCTCCAATTTGTTTGCCGCCACATTCGCTCTTTCTCTCTTTTTCGAATTTGTCCCGTTGTTTTTTTCTTGGGGTGACTTACGAAATTTGCTCATTTTTATGCTTGACAAACTTGGGAAATTGTTGACCGACTTTTGGTCACCGCGAATAGGGAAATTCTCTTCGATTGCGAGATAACAACTTAAAAACTGATCGATTTATAATAAAGGTTTATGCAAGTCATATTAAGATGGAAATATTATTAAATTACTACAACTCAGCATCAAAAATTTGTACACAAATTAAGTATGTATATACTCACCTCTAAAGCCATTCATCCGTATTGTACTTCTTCATTGATCTCGTCAGAGTAGATTACTTATGTACATAAGCTTTTTTGATGATTTCTTTAAGCCATGTATTTCCTCTTCTTTTTAAGCCACACGTCTAAATCAAATTAATCACCCATTGTGCTTTGACCGTTTGAACCCAAGATCAACTTTGTAACACCAAGTCAACTTTGAATTTCAAAGCTTTTTCCATAGCTCACTTTCGAGCCAAGCTACGTTTAACCGCTTCCAACCGTTACATCATTTGAATGTGTGTGTGAACCGATTGCCAAGTTATAGCTTTGTATACCGCCCGGTTGCCTTGGCAGCGCAGTTGGCGTTTTGTTGTCATCATTTTGCTCGCATTTCGCTCAGCTGACGTCGTTGCCGGCGTCGCTGCTGGCGTCGACCATTTTGGCCGCAGTTTGCGCGGCAGTTGGCCATTTGGCTTTGGCGTTAGCCGTTTTTGTTTATCGCGCTGCGGACTGCCTCGCATTTCGCGTTGCCTTGGGCCAATTAAATAAAAATCCCTTCTTCGCGGAAAACTCAAGTTGCAGTTTTGCAAAGTGAACTAAAGTGTTACCGCGTTTCCACGAAAAGTTCCAAGGAGAAACTAAGAAAAAGGGTGCAAAGCAAAACGAAAAACTTAAAAACGGGAAAAGCAAACGCAAGCAGTGCAAAATAAGTGCAAGAAATGTGCTAAAAATGTACGAAGCTGAATGGGGGGAGGAGAGAAAGAGGGGAAGAACAGCAGATGATGATGATGCATTTGGCACCTGGCACCGAAAACATGTTCCCCTTTTGCCCTCTGTTTTGTTTTGTGTTTTCTATTTGTTCTCAGCATAATTATTGAGCCTTCATCGATTCTTTGGCCTTTTCTTGTAGTTAATTTGTTTCTACCACCCTCCCCATTTGCCAGCCCACCCAAAGGTGACGCATGCGAGCAAAGGAAAGGAAAGGCGAACAGCACAACTCAAGAAAGCGATACAAATTGAGAGCAAGGAGCATATTTACATTCACATGCATGACTCATGTTCGCAGCAGGATATCGCAAAGGAGCGAAAGATAGGGAGAATTAGGGGGAGACAAAGAGAAGAGAGAGCTTAGCCGGCTTTGTTGTTGCCACGCTGAAAAAAACTGTTTTTAGCCACTTAGACTAACATTTCAAGAAAACATCTAAAAACTTCATAATTATAATTACTTACTTTGAAAACAAACTTTACCAACACAATTTACTTGCTCAGCTATTTGATTTCTGAAGTATAACCAGTGTTCTTGAGTTTAAGTTAACCTAATTTTTTTCGGTGTAGTTGAGAGAGTCAAATTAGGAGAGTCAGGCAATAAAAAGAGAGAGCACCAATCAGCTGTGACTGAACAAAACCTTGAGGCACATAAAAAACCGCTTGTTTGCGGAGCAGAGTGAATCGAAATCGGGCGGATGTGAGGTTAAACTTTTGCCGATTCCCTTTATTATCCTTTTGCAAAGAGAGACAAAAACTTTCGGCTCAACTTTTCGTCTCAGATTCAATTTCCGCTTTCCGTTACCGTTATGCCTGCATTCGCCGTGGCCTTGACAACAGTTTTGACATTGACACCCCACCCGCTCGCCCACAATTTATGGGGGAGAACGAGAGAGTGAAAAAGAGAGGACTTTACTTTGTTGCAGCTTCCTTTTCATTGTTGCCCGAATAACGGGCACCTGTTGAATGTGGAATGTTCACCCACACACACATCAACACTTAATGGCAACTTAGTGACGTCAGAGTGACCTGCTTACTGCAGATTTACCCAATCGGGCATAAAGCAGTAAAGTAAACATGGAATTGTACACATGTCCAGATACTTGTAGTCTAGTGCTCAACCATAATGCACCCAGATGTACTCACATGAAAATTTCATGAAAATTCCCATAGAACAAGGTGAAATACTATGGCAGTGTTGCTAGAGTAAATACAGTGTGCTCTAGTTATAGTAAATCGTTAAAAATATAAGTTGGCTTGAAAGTCAAACTAATCAAATTATCGTATACATATAAACAAAAGCACTTGTCAAATTCAATGATCCATAAACCAAACAATTCATTCGCAAATATAATAACCTCAGTATAATCAGAATAATTAAAAACCACTGGAAAGCAATTCCAAATCAATTGCCGGCTTTTCGGAAATCGGATTCGATTGCTCTCAAAGTTTAATTTAACGATAAATAGTTGTTAGGAGAATTTATAGTTAAACCACATCGAAACGATTGCGCAATGATTTGTCTCGTGTGAAATGGTAAAGACCTGCTGGGCAATTTAATAGTTAATGGAACCACTTAAATTGCTTTATGAAAGTCAGCAATTAAACTCAAAAAAAGGATGATGTGAATTATTGATATATCAACATGACATTAATACGTTGTGATTGTAAAGGGTAAACGAAAAAAGCTCAGAAATGAGGAGAATTTTAAGAGTCAAAAGTAGTCTCATTAAAGGCTCAATACAAAAAAAACATTATTTAGGAAAATGTTTCGTTTCTTTTACAATTTAAAAAGAAAACGATTTAAAAATCTCGACGAGTATTTGATATACCCTTTGAAAACAATTCCCCTGGGTATCCGAAAATCAAAGCAGAAATTTGTTTATTTATTTATTGCCCAGACGGATGCGTGTAAACACTCGCTATATACGATGAGAATCGTTTCCAGCTGTCTGGGGCTTTTCAGCATGGGGGAGGGGAGCAGTCTATCAAAATGATGGATGGAACGTTTTCATTGAGCCAGTCCCCCAGGGAAGTTTGTTCGGTGCCGATGGGTTTTCAATTGCATTATAATCTACCGGGTGGTGGCAACAAGTTAAATTTGTACTTTTCCTCGTAGAATGAAGAATAATGAGGAGTCCGCAAATCGAGATTGTTCCAACCATAGCCTAAGTTGATTATGATCGGGGGCAGGAGATGCAGCGAGGCCGCCCGGCGGTTGCGAAGGCGTCCCGACACCCTAGAACTTTCAGTTCTGGGCGGCCAACCTATGGAAACGGAACTCCAAGAAGAGAATATGACGAACCCAACAGGAGGACCTGGGGATGCTGATGAATCCGGGATAGCAGATGTCGAAGCTTCGTGTTCGGCAAATAGCAAGAGAACGCGATGGTTTCAGTTCGCCAGAAGCTCCAAAAATAGAAGAAAAAGATTGCACTACGATGACGATGAGGAGGCCGAGGAGCAGGGCAGAAGGAACTCCGATAAGGAGGGTAGTCGGAGGGCGTGTCTCGCCCAACCGGAGGGCATGAATATTGGTAGCTCCACACAAACCATTGCCACACCCCTGATGGTAGATGACAGCTTCTACAGCCTGGCCCAGGGAGCAACCAATCCTTCGATTAATAGGTCCGATGACCAGGAACTGTACAAGCAAAGGGATCCATCGGTGGCCTCCGAGACTAAGTCGGTTCCGAGTATGCGACGTCTGTCCCAGATGAGAAGGCGACGCAGCTCCTACTACTTTTCGGGTAAAAAGGAATTAAGTTTAGAATCTAGGATTTAGTTATTACCATTCTTAAAATGTTAAAATAATATTATATTAGTATATTTTACAAAATTAATAATAGAGTTAATTAATAAACTGAAATAAATTTAGCAAAAAAGACAATAAATAGAGCTCCTATCTAAATGATATTTTTTGTTTTTCAGAAAACGAACGTAGAATCCGCGCCAACGACAAAGACTTTAATGCCCAGTTCAAATATCACGTGAGTATATATTTTGAAGAATTTAAACAAATTCTAATATCTTAAAAGTCGATAAAAATAAAGAAAATATTGTCCAACAACATTATTTTAATAATTAAGAAAACACAAATTTTTCTATCAGAACAGTAGCCCTGTTAGTAAAAATATGACATTTAAAGCTTCCTAGAACAGGTTTTTAACTTCTAGTCGATGGCATTCAAATCTTTAAAAATAATTAAAAAAAAAAAAATAATTGCCTTTCCGATAATTCTAAAAATTGTCTATTCTGTATCCATGCCGAAAACAGCATATTCGATAAGTTCGTAATCCATTTTCGCCATTTTGTGCAGAAATAGATGATTTTAGCCCTTATGAAAAATGTAAAAATTCTGCAGAACTGGATTCAGTCGGAAAGTTTAACAGGTTTAGCTGTCTATCTCGTTTTGATAAATTTATAGCTTAAAAAGAATAAAAATATACAAAAATATATAAAAATATATACATTATATTATAAATAGTCTGTATTTTGGCCAAATCATGGAATCATAGATTATCGTAGCTTCCACTTTGTATTTCCCAATCGATTTGGATTAATTCTGGAAATATTATTTTCGACCATCTTTTAGTAAAATAGATACAAAAAATATAATATAAAAATATATTTTTCACTTTTTGGTAATAAAAAAATATAATATTGGAAATCCACTGAACATTGAGCCCACCATTATCAATAAGGAAGAGAATTACAAAAAAAAGTATATTTTCATCCGATCGAAACTACTATCCTCTCTACTTTGCAGAACAACTACATCAAAACCTCAAAGTATTCCCTATTCACGTTCCTGCCTTTCAATCTGCTGGAGCAGTTCCAACGGTTGGCCAACTTTTATTTCCTCTGCTTGTTGGTCCTTCAGCTGATTCCGGCGATCTCCTCGCTCACGCCCGTAACCACAGCCATTCCCCTGATTGGAGTACTCACTTTGACTGCGGTTAAGGATGCCTACGATGATATAGTAAGTGAAAGTATATTAAGATAACATTATTTTACTTTGTCCTATAGCCTTTAAGACTAATTTAAATCTCCACAGTACAATTTTATTAGTTTTTAAAAATGTTGTATTCTTACTTTCAGCAACGCCATCTGTCCGACTCGCAGGTGAACAATCGCAAGTCGAAGACTCTTCGGAATGGCAAGTTGGTGGAGGCCAAGTGGTCGGAGGTGCAGGTGGGCGATGTCATCCGACTGGACAACAATCAGTTCGTGGCAGCCGACACCCTGCTGCTGTCCACATCAGAGCCAAATGGACTGTGCTTCATCGAGACAGCAGAATTGGATGGGGAGACGAATCTCAAGGCGAAGCAGTGCCTGACGGAGACCATTGAGCTGGGTGATCGTCATGACTCGCTGTGGAACTTCAATGGCGAGATAATCTGCGAGAGGCCAAACAATCTGCTGAACAAGTTCGATGGCACTTTGATCTGGCGGAATCAAAGGTTTGCTCTAGACAACGAGAAGATCCTGTTGAGAGGATGTGTTCTCCGGAATACGCAATGGTGTTATGGTGTGGTGGTCTTCGCCGGAGTGGACACCAAGCTGATGCAGAACTCCGGGAAGACGCAGTTCAAGAGCACTGGCGTGGATCGTCTGCTCAACTTTATAATCATTGGGGTAGGTTGAGCTATATCTTCATTCTTATAAATATAGTATTAACAAGGTTATCCTCTTAGATTGTCCTCTTTTTGGTGTCGATATGTGCCCTCTTTGCGATTGGCTGTGCCATCTGGGAGGGCCTAATTGGCCAGCATTTCCAGCTGTATCTGCCCTGGGAGCGCATCATACCCAAGGATTACATACCCACAGGGGCCACGGTCATCGGATTGCTGGTTTTCTTCTCGTATGCCATAGTCTTAAACACAGTTGTGCCAATCTCACTCTACGTATCAGTAGAGGTAAGTCTGAAGTGCTGCCAAATGATCTGAAATGACCAAAATTATTATCCTTACCAGGTAATACGCTTTGTACAGTCGTTCCTCATCAACTGGGATGAGGAGATGTACTATGCGACCACCAATACCTATGCCAAAGCCCGCACCACCACACTAAATGAGGAGCTGGGCCAGATCCAGTATATCTTTTCGGACAAGACGGGCACTCTCACCCAGAACATCATGACGTTCAACAAGTGCAGCATCAATGGACGAAGTTACGGCGATGTGATTGACCTGCGCACAGGCGAGCTCATCGAGATTACGGAGGTGAGTGGAAGATTGTCGTGGTTTTGGAGTCCAATAAGTCGATTTAACCTCTAACTTGGTTGAGGGAATGTTGTCTTGAGTGTGTCGGTGTCCGTTTCTTGCACTGTCTGCCCAAAAAGAAAATTCCAGTCTCGGCCGAGTCTGGGTTTACAAGTCAAACTTAAACTTTGATCTTTCCCTGGTTCCACTGTGTGTGTCTTAATTGTGCGTCTGGCAATGTAAAAAAAAAAAAAAAAAAGAGAGAAAAAAGAAAAAACAACAACTCACATTACTCGTTATAGCAGCAAACAATTTTCCAAAATAGCAACACCAACAACAAACCCAGCCCCGCAGGTGGAGCTGCGCCAGCACCACCTGCAGCAGCACCACCACCACCCCCCATCATTCTAGTGCACAAGGCTGAGGTCCATGCCAAGAAGAGTTCTCTGATGGTCACATCCTCCGGGGAAGCACAAGTGGTCCAGGAAAGGCCGACTACCCTGAGATTGGACCTGGAGCATCCTGGTGCACCGCTGGACGGCAGTGAAAAAAGGCCAGGACTGAAGCATGTGCGATACTCGGCGCCCAGTAGAAGTCAGGATGATGATACGGGTCGGTTGTCCCCTCGACTGGGCGGCAGTGGAGGTCTGAGTATACCCGTTGGCAATGAGGAACGAAGGAGCAGTGGCGGCTTTAGGAGGAGTGGTGCCGGATATATGCAACGACAATTGTCCCGCACAAGCAGTTGCGACAAAGTAAAGATTTTGCATGACACTGAACAGACAGAACAACACAATATGCACCATCCAAAGCCTCATAGCAAGCGAATAGTTAAGATCCGGTTCAAGAAATCCACATCAACAGTCACGCTGGGTGTTCCCTTCGGTCAGCTCGAGCCACACGATGAAGGGCAGCCACAAATCACATCCACACTGCACCCAAACGATTCGAGCACCACAAAGCACCGCCACAAGGCATTTGCCACCAATTGGAGTTCGTCGCCTCACAGAGTGCACGTATGCATGTTGCATGTCCTTCTATTCACACCCAAAATTACCGATTAGCTAAGTGTTCTAAATGTATGTTCAGTGTGTTTGCTTGCTGAATTCATCCAAACATTTTATGTTATTGTTTAGCATGTTAGAGGGCATGCCAAGTAAATTTAGTGGAAAGATACATATATAGATTGTTTATTAGTTAGAGTCAGCAACATTACATTTTGGTTTTAGTAATCTCTACACACTCTACACTTCGTTTTGTAGTTTAAATCCCTCATTCCTTTCATTCATTCCTGTCAGATCATGTGTTTTAGTTTAAGTTTAATGTTAAAAGAAGTTAAAATGATTTCCTTAACATTTGTTGGCATTTTGATGTAATATCTAGGCATATTTCAGTCATAATTAGTTAAACATTTCTGTTTAACATTTTTAATGTTTTGATATGGTTTCTGATTACACAGCTTACAAAGCGTTAACATATCGCAATAACGCCTTTAAGTTGGGAATAAAACACAACACTTTGGAATCGCTAAAAGTTCTCTTTTAACACCCCAGCTCTTAACTAAGCATTATTTACTTTTCGGCATAGTGCTAACTCTGCTTAATATCGTATACAGCCAAGCTAAACGTACAGTAAACTACAGATAACCCTCTTGTTATACGACGGTACCCTTAGACCAACTAATTAAGCCAACTTTATTTCAACAGGCCCTCCAAAGCGTCGACTTCTCGGCCAATCCACATCATGAGAGCGATTTCCGGTGGTATGATCGCACGTTACTAGATGCTGTCCGCTCGGATGAGGAGCACTCCCACGTGTTTTTCCGACTGCTCGCTCTTTGTCACACTGTCATGGCCGAAACGGTGGATGGGAAATTGGAGTACCAGGCCCAAAGTCCCGACGAAGCTGCTCTCGTTTCGGCCGCACGCAATTTTGGTTTTGTCTTTCGCACACGAACACCGAATAGTATTACCATCGAGGTTATGGGACAGACGGAGGTTAGTTATGGGTTAGGAATTATTATTTTAATCTTAACTTAAATGTTTTTTCAACTCATAAAGGAATACGAACTCCTTAATATCCTCGACTTCAACAACGTCCGTAAAAGGATGTCTGTAATCCTCCGGCGCGGTGACTCCATGGTGCTCTACTGCAAAGGAGCGGACAATGTGATATACGATCGTCTGCATGGCGGACAGGAAGATCTGAAAGCACGCACTCAAGACCACCTTAATGTAGGTTACTTTAAACGATATAAGTTTTCAATTTGGTTAATCATATCTTTTCCCCATAGAAATTTGCTGGCGAAGGCCTGCGTACCTTGGCATTAGCCGAACGACGCTTAACTGAGCAGTACTACAATGACTGGAGGAGTCGACAGCAGGAGGCTGCTCTTTCGATGGATTCTCGGGAGCAGAAGCTAAATGCCATCTACGAGGAGATCGAAAGTGAAATGCAGCTAGTTGGTGTGACGGCCATAGAGGACAAACTGCAGGACGGTGTGCCCAAGTCTATAGCTAATCTGCAGAATGCTGGCATCAAGATTTGGGTACTAACTGGGGACAAGCAGGGTGAGTTTTGATGGAAAAATATATTTTGGATTAAATTTAATTTAAGTTACTGCGTAAACAGAAACGGCAATTAATATTGGTTACTCCTGTCAACTTCTCACTGATGAGCTGGCGGATGTCTTCATAGTAGACGGCAACTCTGTAGAGGAGGTAGAAAAGCAGCTGAGGCAGTTCAAGGAATCCATCAAAATCTACAATAGGTTTCGACCAGGCGGTGAGTAAATCAAAAAATAAATTTTAAAAAAATTATTTAAAGTAATTGAAAACAGATTACTTAATTCTCTCTGATCAAGACGTTTTACTGAAGGTTATTCTGTTTTGAAATAAATTTTATTCAGGATTTGATGCATTTGACCGCTTTAACGGCGACAACAATATGGATCCCTTGAGCATGACCATGACACAGACCTCAGCCTTCATGCAGGAGACGAATCTGCCGCCCACGCCGCCTCAACCGCCTGCCATTTCGGTGGTTACCTTTAGGTGGGATGACAAAATTAAGGATAATAAGGGCGGACCGGACAGGTAGAGGGCAATCCTTAACAATATTCCAAATAGTTTAGCGAATAAAATTAAATAAAATTTCCCAACAAATTTCTAGCTAAAGTGAAATTTAACCTGAGTAGAAATCTGCTAGAATCTATATCTTATACTCAACTTTTCTATAAACTTATTATTTGTTGTATCTAATTTCTTTATTTATTAATTTTATGTTGATCTTTCTTATTTTGTATTTTGATTTTTACTATCTTACAAACCTTCTATCTGTGTCTTTACCTTAGATTTCTTATATTTTTGCCTTAGAGGACAGTTTGACTTTTATAAAAAAAAAACATTTTGCTGTAGGCATTTATTATTTATTTTTCATGTTAAAAAATGTTAATAGAAAATATTTAAAGAGTAAATACCACCCACCAAAGGATGTAACCCTCTATTGGTGCTTGTTCCGCCCGTCAAGTAAACTATATTTATATGTATTTTTCAAACTAAATATTTTCGTATAAATTAAAAACACCCAGCATCTGTTTGAGTTCTGTCTGTTCCTCATGCCTTGTACAAAAATAAAACCGAAGATTTATTTCCAATACAAAAAAACAATTCAAGAACCACTTAAACCAACAGTCACTGTCCAGTCTTCTCCATTAACTAAGTATATATCTTTCTTCCTTGTCTCATCCAAAAGTAGTTACTTGTCTAAATCTCTGTACATATAACTCATAAAGCCGTTCCACTCTCAACACTTAACTTTGCTTAATAACATTTTCATTTTAATTGTTTAAAATCAGTCCATTCTTTCGTACTAATTTAATATTTCGTATTTCCAAACAGTGCTGAATGCAATGATTTATTCGGGGATGAGAAGAGGAGCGATGATGGAGGCACTGCCTCCATTGTGGTAGATGAAAACACAGGCTTTGCCTTGGTGGTGAACGGACATTCTCTGGTGCACTGTCTTTCGCCGGAAATGGAAAACAAGTGGGTGGCCCCTCTCTATAATTCTCGTTTGGCAATCAATAATGGAATAATTTGGTGTCTTCTGCAGATTCCTGGACATCGCCTCGCAGTGCAAGGCGGTCATCTGTTGCCGGGTAACGCCGCTTCAGAAGGCGCTGGTCGTCGAGCTAATTAAGCGTGCCAAAAACGCCGTCACCCTGGCCATTGGAGATGGTGCCAACGATGTGTCCATGATCAAGGGTGAGTCTTGGTTAGTTTACCAATTTAATTTAAATATTCATGAATTCTTTATCTTAAAGCTGCCCACATTGGCGTTGGTATTTCGGGACAGGAAGGCCTTCAGGCTGTCCTGTCCAGTGACTATTCCATTGCCCAGTTCAGATACCTCGAAAGATTGCTTTTGGTCCATGGTCGTTGGTCCTACTATCGCATGTGCAAGTTTCTAAGATACTTTTTCTACAAGAACTTTGCATTTACCCTTTGCCATTGCTGGTACTCGCTCTTCTGCGGCTTCAGTGCTCAGGTGGGTTCGCACCAAGTTGTTTTCTATGCCAATACTAATTGCCCTTCAACCGCAGACGGTGTTCGACCCAATGTTCATATCGGTGTATAATCTGTTTTACACATCCTTGCCCGTTCTGGCACTGGGCGTCTTCGAGCAGGATGTCTCGGACAAGAATAGCGTGGAGTTTCCACGCCTCTACACACCGGGTCTAAAGAGCGAGCTGTTCAACATTCGTGAGTTCATCTACAGTGTGCTGCACGGTGCCTTCACCTCGCTGGTCCTGTTCCTGATTCCCTATGGCGTCTACAAGGACGGCGTCTCGGCGCAAACGGATTCATTGTCAGCGATCACATGACCCTGGGCGCCGTTGTGGCCACCATACTCATCGTGGATAATACAGCACAGGTGAGTCCCTTTTTACTTATTTTTTAAAGATTTAAAAAGGATTTTCAACAATATTTATCTTATTATAACTTAATCTTGTATATTTTTTAAAGATATCTTTGTACACCTCCTACTGGACCGTTGTCAATCATGTGACCATTTGGGGTAGCCTAATTTGGTACTTTGTACTGGACTATTTCTACAACTATGTTATTGGAGGCCCTTATGTGGGCTCTTTGACCCAAGCTATGAAAGACCTGACCTTCTGGGTAACCATGTTGATCACAGTGATGGCGCTGGTGGCGCCTGTCTTGGCCTACAAGTTCTATTTGCTGGATGTGCATCCCAGTCTTTCGGATAAGGTAAGAGTCATATCAGAAAATAAACTCTTATATTACTTAACATATAACCTGCCTACAGATTCGTCAAAAGTCCTTGAATAAGATTCATTCGAGAGCCTCAAGTGATGTCAGAAGAACGGCTTCATCGCGCCGCGGACGTCGCTCCGTGCGATCGGGATATGCCTTTGCCCATCAGGTAGACACATCTACTCAGTTGGTTTACCCCTTAAACCAAACTAAATTCCTACTTCTTTAAATTTCCAGGAGGGCTTTGGTCGGCTCATCACCTCAGGAAAGATAATGCACAAACTGCCGCAGGACTTTGCCTTCCCGCTGGGCTTGGGCACAAAGAAGGCACAGGTGCTTCACAACAACCTAAACTCGGCTGATGGACCGGCCTCCAAGACCAACAATGTCTCGGGCCAGCACATGGTCAACAACAACACAAATCTTCGACAGAATCAGAACCATTCGTCGATGGCGGATATAACGGCTGATGGGCGGGGAAATGGGGCGGGGGATGGCAGGGGTAGTGGTGGCACGGATGATATGAGTCCGCGTGCCCCATGTCAGGACCTCGATACGATTAATCTTTAAGCTTTAGATGCAGGTGCTGGATCGGTAGCGGGTTCCGTAACAAACACCAAAAACCTTTAAAGAATTTAAGTCAGCAAACATAAGTATACGTTTAAGTTTTAGTCAGAGAAGAGTTGTAGAATTTAGTAGGAGCTTGAGTGGTTTGAATCTGTGTGAATGTAAGTCCAAAAAACTGAACAAGTATTATGATGAATGGATGTATAATCTTCATGTTTCTCCCTTTTAGTTGAGTATTTTTATGATAGTTTTTATATTGAAGTATTTTTTCCAGAAATCTGCAAATACCTTCATCCAAAGATATAGACATCCCATTCTAACTTCAATCAGAACTCAATCAATAAGTAAACTTTCGAATAGATACACAACTTTAACCAAATCTTGTCCTTCCCTTGACAATCCAACAATATAATAGTCCTACTCCTGATTGCCCTAAAACAGCACAAAAACCTCTCTCCTTTCACGTATTTATATCATCGTTGACTGCATTTAAGAGAGTGACTACCCTGAGTGATTGAATGTGTGCTTGGTTTTTAAGATATAGTATAGGTTACATTAGATTAAAACTGTCTTTGGGAAACTGAAAGTGTACTTAAATGCTTAATGATGTGCTGTGTGCTTAGCCAATATATAATATAAGCGGTGTTAAATCACCGTTCAGAGTAGCTTAACTACATATAGCTGAAAGAAATCTCCCCTTAAAGTCCATTGCTATATATATTCTATATACTCCCCCGAAAAACAAAGACACAAAACACAAAAACACATAGAAAAGTCCACACTTCTGTGTTCCTAACTAGAGTTGTAGAATTAAAGCCTTACAATATATGCCTTAGAGAGTCCCTATGGTTAAGTCCTTTTAGCAGTATCGGGTTTTCCAGCTTGGACTCCCATTATTTTTCTGTTGTTAGAGTTTGGGCATTCGAATAAGTGGGCTGTGGGTTGGAACAGTAGCAAAGGTCTAAAGTGATTTATTATTAGAGTGCAGAAAAGTACTTAAACATGGCTTTTTATAAATCAAGTGGGTTATACTTCTAAATATATTTATAACAAAATGTTTTGGGTACATATTTTTGCATGACAAAAATCTAATCGATGGGAAGAACTTAAATTTAGTCTGCAAATTGTTGCTATACAAAAAGAAAAGTGAAAGTGAAATGATTAAACCAAATAAAAAGAGAATACATTTTATTTTTATCTACAATTTTAGCCAAGGAAACTAAAGTTTGCATTAAGTAAATTTTTAAATGATAAAATAAAAGCGACATATTTTCAAAAAGCAATAGCCTTGGATTTTTTATTGAATTTTTTACACTCATAATTGACTTGTAAACAAATTCCACAGTTCTTCCTTTATTTAAATTTACGTATTAATTAACCTGATTTTAATCCAACATTTTTTCCTGAACCGATTTTAGCTTCACATCATCGCATTTCGTATATCTGGTCTTTGTCAGATTGTGCTCAATTTGCGTAACAAATTACATTTAATTTGTTAAAAGAAAAGTTGAAAGCACGCCAACCCAAACCCGTGACTTGTTTACGCCTCATTAGCTGGACATTAAGATTATGCATTTTTATGAACTTTTCGGTCAAATTTAACACACGACTTGGTCCGAACTTTGTAATTAAATCTGTTACAATCAAATTGCTTGCCCTTTTGTTGGCCGCACTTTTCTTCCTTTTAGGAGGAACAACCAAAAAGAAGAAAAACTTGAAGACATGCTGGGTAAATTTAAGGCGTTGGAATTAAGTCAACTTAATGTCGTTTAAATATCCACTTTGAGAGAAGAGAGCCAGAGAATCAGATAAAAGAGAGATGGAGCACAACAGAAGCTGAAATCTGAGGGAAAAAATGTGATGCCATTTATTTTAATTTGCGAGTCAAAATGTCGAGACTTAAAGTGAGGAATGAATGCGGCCGAAATGCGCCACAAGCCAAGGAAAAGTGTAGATTGAAAGAGAAATGGCCAAATGGCTGCCGCAATGACGCAATTCCTTAGGCCAACAAACTGGCCTTCTCTGCTGCTTTTAGGGCCAAACAATTTAATTGACTAAATTATATACTCAATACAAAATACGTAGAAAAATCATCATAAAATCGGCAATTTTGTTAAGGTAACCAAAAACTTCACTTCTATCAAGGAAAATCGTTCAGAAAGTTGTTCAAAACCTTAACAGACAGATAAATAACTTTGAAATGCCAAAAGGGATCAGCGCGAATGGGCCCCTTGGGCCAACTAAAATAGGAAAGATATGGCCATAAAACTAAATTGATGTGAATCTGTAGTATTCAAAGCAAAGGGTATCGAAACATAAACAAAGCACAAAATCATAAAACTTATTCGATGAGTTATTACACTGGTCAACAAAGCTCCAATCATGCTTGTAAATTGCAATTTTCCTAAGCTCAATCAAAGGGGCCTTTTGATGACTTTTACTTTTGATAAGTTACTTATTAAGAGGATAAGTAGTAATACTACTTAAGAGATTTCAAACCATTCTTTATTTATTTATTTGTTTGATACTTTTAACTTTGTATTTATCTTTTTAAGCACCCAGAATAACCTACGGGTTTGGAAAGATGGGTGGTGGAGTAATCATCAGTCTGAAAATTCTCGTCAGGATGGGCTACTTCTGGTATGTTGAGTAATGTGAGTGCTTCCGCTTCCGCCTGTCTATATGGGAGCTTGTATGGCCACTTCCTGCTGCGTTTTTTATTTTTTGTACTTTTCTTTTATTTTTCAACAAAAATTTCCAAATACTTAATACTCAATTTGGCCCACAGACCCAGTGAGTCAGAGAGAAGGAGGAACAGACAAAATGTTATGCCAGACGAGTGCCAGAGGGTTTGAAGTGGAGACGAAGTGGATGGAGTACATGTGTGCTGTGTTAACTGCTCACCACTTGGCCGCATTTCCTTCTGGGCTTGGTAGTCTGTGTGGTAAAAGCGAGATAAAAGCGTCTTTAGCAAGCTGAATAACTTGTTGGATCCAACCGGTACTGGGGCAAACACACTTGCAGACCAAATGGTGCTTGAATGTATTTCACTTTGATTTGCTTTTATTTTAAAGAAATCCATTCAGAACTGCAGAGTGCGGCCTGCTCTTGGCATAAATCTGTGGGGATTGCGAAAAGAGGGAGGTTGGGATGGGGTAGAGGGGGCCCGGACTTGAGGCTTTTATGCGCGGCACTTAACCGCTTAATTACTCATTATGCTTGAGTTTATCCAGCCATTTAATCAGCCACTCAATGCAACCAAGAAAGGTAACGGCGCAGTTTAATGAATAATTGAGTCAAACGGCAATAAAACATTAATTAACAATCTCTGCTCAAAATCCTCGTCTCTCTTTGGTAGCCCCGGAGTGTAATTTACATTGATTCCGGTCATACATCTGTTTCCTGCGGCATATACAAGTATTCATGGAAAATTCACGGACATATTTCCCTTGTATAAACATATTCTTACCATATATGTATATGCATTTCCCGACATTTGCATTTTCCCGTGGTAAAAAGCTGAGGTTGGTAGTAAAAAAAAGCAGCATTTTGGCATTCCAGCGGTTAACCATTTGTGTCATCAAGAAACAATGTCATTTTATACACGTTTTAATTGGCAGCACTTAAAAACACAAGTCTTGAAGTTCCTTTAAATGCCTAAAGCTGGTTTTAGTCAAATAAAATGATATAATTTATTCTGCTTTGGGTAAATTATGTTACTGATATTGGCTTTGAAATTTTCCTGGCTTTTACTTAATTGGATTCAAGGGAGATAATTTTCAAACTTATGTTAATCTAATGCCTTTGAGATAATTCTCTCGCATATTATGGACCTAATTTTCCAATTGGCCTCTACACTTGTCAGTGTGAATTCTGATATTAAATTAAATGAGATTTTAAGTTTCTTGAATAGCTTTTACTTAGCTTAAACTTAAGGAGAAGAATGCATAAAGAGGAATTCAGTTTCTCAAACTAAGTTTAATCCAGCCCTTGGAAAGGGCTTCTCTTCTATATAAATTCAAAGCCTTTAGTAAAACTAAATTATGTCATTTTCCTCCACCAACTTCTTAACCTTACATACACCCCCTGAAAATGTTGTGACCTTTTTGGGTTGGCCACGTCCTTGTTAGCGATTTGTCAAAATCATCGACTCACCGTGACCTCAGACACGTGAGTTTCGGTTTGCAAGCGAAAGAAGGAGAGAAAAAAAATAGAGAAAATCGAACTGACACTCGTAACAGGTTCGACGTGATGTCAACAAAAGCCAAGCAATATCAACCTAAACGAAAACTCCTTCACACTGCCACACCCATAAACTGGATATGTAGAGATAGACCAACGCACGTATGTGGGCGAAGTTTCATTAGTGGAAACGTCAAAGTTCGTTGAAAGAAGAACCCCGAGCACTCACCTACGGATATAGTGCCATATGGTAGTATAGTACCCTCCTCCATCTTCATCAAGTGGCGAAATGCAGAACCATCGATTGGGTTGCACACACGGAAAATAAGAAAGCGATGCTGAAAGTACTGTAATTGCATTTGCATATGACATACCATCCAACTTTAAGAAAAGTATGTTTAAACTCGACAGGGCAATACTTATTGCTTTTCCTCCCAACTTTCACTCTATCCATATCCACAGTATTTACCCTCAATAAGCTGCCAAGTTAAATATTGTATAAATATTCTTTCCTCTTCTATTCATTTGACCGCCCTCGGCCCCTTTGACTCACCCAGTTTGCACTTTTTGTGTATATTTTTAGTGGGCAACAAAGTTAAGTTAATAAAATCATTTTAAAGTTTCGGCTGTCATGGATACGACACTTTCTATTATGCATTAGGGCAACAAAATTGTTTCCAACCTTTTCGCTCCTATGTTTCCAGCTTGCAGCTTGTCCATGATGCAACTTTCAGGGCAAAGCGAAAAAAGTAGGGGGGCGTCTAGTTAAGGGGGCGCCACAAGGAACAGAGTGGAAAGCGGGTGGGTGTTTGGGCCAAGATAGATACCGTTGCTGACAGCTGCTTAAGTGCGAAATTCGATTTCGCATTCAAGGGCGTTGTCCACTTTAAGCTTTTGCCTTCGCAATATCGCAATATCGGGTAAAAACAGCGAACAAAGGCTAAAAGGGTTGGGGGAGGGTGGCGTAGCAAAGGGAAATTATTTAAACTTGTAATGAACCAAACACCGAAGGCAAAGCGGAAAAATGCGCAGACCGGGAAATTTATGGAGGACAACATGGACATAGAAAAGGCAGAACCAAAATCAAAGTCACTTGAAAAAAATTATAAATTTCAGTAAATTGTTTAAATATTTTTTACTAGTTTGTAAATAATTTCTGCCAACTTTAATTAGTTAGCCCAAATCAAAGGTTAATTACTATAAAAAGTATTAAATCTTTTTAGATTTTAAAAACTCGAAAAAGGATGTCAGTAATTTATAATTTAATTGTAGGTTTCAAATTTTTAATACAACTTTCGCCTCTCAAAATGAATATTTTTATAATGACTTACATAACACAACACACTTTAACTTTCTAATAAAAATTGAAAAGGCAGAAAAAATAATCATACTGACAAATTTTATTCTTTTACAAGATTTTAATTCGTTTTATAATTCTTTCTTATTTTCAGTGTCGAGGCACAAAAAAGACCGAAAACTACAAACTAAGAGCACCTGAAAAAGAGATAAAAACTAAAACTACAAATAGAAAAAAAAGCAAATAGCATTTTTTATAGAAGATTATATAAAACATTTTGAATTGGCCAAAGCCAGACTCCATTTGAATATCTCAATGGCGGGCTTACAAAATTCGTGAATAGCTTAAATGCCACTTGAATGCGGCATGGCCACAATCGTTTTCGCTAATTGAATGTTAATTAATAAAATGCAAAACCCACACTGGCAACCATAAAAAACATCCAAAGGGGTGATATAATGAGTGGATAGTCAAAGTGGAATACTTGTTGACTGAATGAATGGCCATTTACACAGAGATCCAAATGAGAGGGGAAGGTCCACAAAAAGCGAGGCTCAGATCTGCCGAACGATAAAGTTTTAATTTCCATTTGATGGCTGTTAGTGAAGCTGGGCAAAAATATTTTCATATTTATACGCCTTTTTTCACTTTCGCATGCACTGGATGTAAAATATGTTTTAATTAAAAGCAAAGTTATATATATATATGCGTGTATATAACTATTTTTTTTGCTCTCCCACTCCGGTCCTTTTTGTGCGCTGATTGCCCCAAAGCTGGACCAAATCAGAACGGCAAACAAACAAATATAAATTTTCTGGGCAGCAGAGATGCAATGGCGGTGGCAAAAACCAAAAAATTCCCCAAAGTGCAGCCCATTGGGCAATGGCAGATGAAAAACGTTACCAAAGTACCAATTCCACTCACTCACATTCGTATCCGCATCCGCATCCGCATTCCCCATCTCGACCACCTCTCTCTCTCTCTCTCTTTTTCTATCTCTATAAACAAAAGCGTTCTGTTTCTGGCAGATGAGCCAAAGTAACGTAAAATTCCCCAATGCCCGAAAAACTACAAATAGATATTTAATTTTTTGCAATTTCATATATAGAGTTTTCCCCAGTTGAGAGGGAAAGTGTGTGTGTCTGTGTGTTTCCCAGTGCCCAGTGGGTGGGCTTTGCAGTTGCAGTTCAGCTTTTCCTGCCACACAAATGACCCGAAAATTTCGTTAAGCGACAAACAAACAGGAATTAATTTTGGTTCCAGCTTAAAGTTGGTCCCCAGAAATATACGACAAATTGCATGCAACAATTTAGTCTTGTGTGTCAACCACATTGCAATGCCATAGCATAATGTTGCACTTAAATCACGTTCCACCAGGGAAATGCAAGAAAATCATTTATTCTAGAACACATAATTTGCTTAGGAATATTAAATATAAGTTTTGTGTGGCCTATTAAGGATATTGACTTTGCATGATTGATTGGGGAAATTTCAAATAATTATCCCTCAAAGGGGTCTACCTACCTACCTGCCTACCACCTATCTACCTACCACATAAATCCTGTCTTTAAGCAAACAGTAGGCTATGAATATAACACCAACCTAATTTACTCATTCAAAACGATCATTCCCATTCATCTAAATTCCAAATCCACTGTAATTTTAACCACCACAAAACTTTTCATCATGCATAATACCAAGAAGTGCAGATGCAACAAAAGCTTGTTAAAGGTATTCAAGGTATAAATTCCATAAAAAATGAGTTACTAACATTTATTTTTAGTCCATTATCCGCTCCTATGCTAAATGCAAAGGTGGCGGCGACAACGGCATTAAGGGAAAATTGGCCAAGAAAATTCCCGAAGAGAGAGACAAGTTTTTGGGCATCAAGTGTCTGCATGGCAAGAAGATAGTTGCCCAGATCAGCGTTAACAGTATAATAGGTGGAATGCGAGGACTTCCCCTCCTTTATTGCGACACCTCCAGGTAAGGTTTTCTAAATACTATTAACTAGTTGAATTTAATCTGAAATTCCTTTTCTTCTTCCCCAGCCTCGACAAAGAGAAAGGCATTTCCTATCGCGGAAAATTGCTAAAGGATGTATGTGCCAAGCTGCCACGAGTTAAAGAGGGCTCGCAGGAGGGCACACCGGAGGGGTGTTTCTTTCTGCTGACCACCGGATCGATGCCCAAAAAGAAGGAGGCCGAAGAGGTCACCAAGGAGTGGTTGAAGCGTGGCAAGGTTCCGCCCTATTGCCTAAAAATGATTGACGCCATGGACAAGCGAATTCACCCTATGGCCCAGCTGTGCGCCGCCTGCTCTTGCCTCAATCCGCATAGTAAGTTTCTGGAGGCATACAACAAGGGGGCAAAAAGGGCAGACTACTGGAAGTTCATATACGAGGATGCAATGAATCTGTGCGCCATGTTGCCAACCGTGGCGGCGGTCATCTACAACAACGTATTTAAGAATGGCGAGGGCTGTCGGGATCTAGACCAGGAACAGGATTGGTCTGGCAACTATTGCCAAATGCTCGGACTGCCGGATAAGGATTTCATTGATCTCATGCGGCTCTATATGGTCATACATGCAGATCACGAGAGCGGCAATGTTTCCGCCCACACTGGCCACCTGGTTGGATCAGCTCTCAGCGATCCTTACCTTTCCTTTGCAGCTAGCATGTGCGGCCTGGCGGGTCCACTTCATGGACTGGCTAACCAGGAAGTACTCGTTTGGTTGACTAAGCTAAGAAAAGCTATAGGCGATGAGCCCTCGGACGATGAAATAAAGAAGTTTATCGACGATACGTTGAAAGGAGGACAGGTGAGATATTCGACTATACACTAGTCCAGAATGATCTAAGTCTATAAATTAAATTTACACTTCAGGTTGTTCCCTGGATATGGCCACGCCGTGCTGCGACACACAGATCCCCGTTTCGTTCTCCAAAACGAGTTTGCCATGAAACACTGCAAGGATGACCCTGGTGTGAAGCTAGTTACCCGACTGTGGAAGATTATACCAGAGGTGTTGAAGAGTCTCAACAAGGTGGCTAATCCGTATCCAAACGTAGATGCCCACTCGGGTGTCCTGCTGCAACACTACTGTCTAAAGGAGATGAACTACTATACGGTCCTCTTCGGAGTTTCTCGAGCTATTGGAATTATGGCTCAACTGATTTGGTCACGTGCCCTGGGAGGACCCATCGAAAGGCCGAACTCCTTTTCCTCGTCCAGTCTCTGCGGACTTATCGAAGCAGCGGACAAGAAGGATGATAAGAAAAAGAAAAAGTGCTGAACACTAAACAGGTTATCAAACCAAAACAATAGCTAGTTGTGAATCTGAAAGAATAGTTTTAAAATAAATATAACCATCTCCAACAACAATTTTCCGAGGACACTCAAATATTTCACCTTGAAGAGACCTCTGTTAAGCGTTAATATTTGTCATTAACATATGCATGTTCTTGGCATCTTGTAATTGCTTTGCCTGACTGACATTTGTCTGTTTATTTCTGACTTCTTTGATATGCCGGCATCTTGGGGGAAGTAGTACCCCTTACCATTTCGTCCTGCGAGAGCTGTAATTATTATGCGTGGGCTTAAATAAATCGCATTTCAATGGCTTTGATGTTGGCATCCCCAAAAAACGTATCTAATATCCATATTCCCCCCCGAGACCATCACCTCTGTATCTTCCCCCGAAAGTAGATCATAAATCAGTCGCGTAATCCAAGCTCTCGACACAGCGAAAATGATAAATTATAATCAGTTTCTGGCACACTTGAGGAAAGGCATAGTTTTGGGAACAAATTAAATGGGGAAATATTGTTAAAATAACTGGGAATTGCTTTTAATTCCCAAGGATTTGGATTAATCTGGACAAATCAAGGATATTAATGTGTGCAAACAAAGAATTCCCTGTTTGCTATTCCCATCGCCACTTGCCACGAATTTCATCAAATGTACTCGTGATTATTGTAATTTTTATAAAAGCATTCCATCAACTGATTGATTTCTGTTCAAACTCTCCCTTTGTTTGGTTGGGTGTTGGTCTTGGTCCTTACCCACTCAGTTTCCCGATTGTATTCCCCGATTTTTGTTTTGTTTCACGGAACCCGGTCCATGGTTTCTATAAGTGATATTTTATTGTGATTTTTATTATAGCGCCCTCCCTGTGGGTAAGCTCGGGAGTCCTTGGGGTTGCCTAAGCCAGGTCCCCAGTTTCCACTTTCCTGAATTTGATATTCGTTTTTCCACGGGAATATGTATTTGCCCCACATAACAAATGACCTAGTGAGAGGAAAATGGAAAATGGTGTGGGTATTAAAAATAATGGCACATCGCCGTGATTATATCCCTTGCATTTTTAATTTAATTACACATATTCATAAATGCTTAACATTTACATTTTAGTTCTTATATTTACATATAAAAAATGTCATAAAACTGAAAATTCCCAAATATAAACGACAATTAATCGAATTTTAATTTTACAGCTACTCATAAACATGAATAAATTTCCTGCTTTTTATAAGCATAATAATATGGTCATGAACTACATTTTCCCGCCCCGGCTCTTAACTTATTATTAATTGCTTTGAGCATGAGAGGTTTTTCCGATGCAAATGGAAAATGAGCAGTGGAAAGGCAGAGAGAGCGAGGGAAAGTAGAATGTAAATGATAAAAGTTGAAATATGTTTACCCAAGCTGGTGGGAAAAATAAGCTGCAAAACGTTTTAATAAAAGTATTTACTATTTTTCCCGCACAGTTATTTTATTGTTGAGGGAAATCATGAAAACTTTTTTTATTGCAATTCACTGCGCAGCTACAAGCTGATGTTTTTTTTTCGTATAATTTTTTTCAAACATAATTTGAAACTGTTTTTGGGTGGGCGAGATGCAGAGGCACGCTTCTACGAGTAGTATGTATGCTGCCAGTGGCCTTGGATGGCAGAAAAGGAAAGCGTACACCCACACATTCTCAAATTCACCCACTTGAGCACGCACACACCCAGCCACACACACACACACAAATGGGCGGGAATAAAACACATCCGCATCAAGCATGTTCCTGTTCATGTGGCCGCTGCTGTCCCGCCGCCTGGCCAGAACCAAAAATAAAACAATGGCCAGTCTGTTGGTCTGGCGGTCGGTCGGACGGTCGGACGGTCGACTTCCATCTGGCTGTGGAACGCATGTGTGGCAGCAGTCATATAAAATGTTCGCACATATGCCAACTTGCTTTCAACCATTTGCTGCAATATTAAAACAAAAGTAATGCGAAAGTGCTTTCCAACCCATCGCCCTCGTTTTCCGCCCCTCACTCTCCCTTTTCGTCTTTTCTAAAAAAAGAAACTAAAAATAAAAAACAAAACCATAGATTAAAAATTTCATGAAATTGTGCCTGGGCATGAAACTATGTAGGGGATATTTTAAAAACTGACCAAAGTAAGTCTTCAGCATCTCCCCTGCTGGAAATAAATTAATGAAAACTTACAAAAAGGTTCCTAGAAATATAAGTTTAGTAACAATAAATTAAAGTGTAGTTCCTTTATAGCATACAGCAATAAGGAATATAGTTTAAATTCCCTTTTAAGCGAACCACTTTCTCTTGCCAAACAAAAATCAAGTTTAAAATAGACAACCTTCTTCCAAGTTTAACTTTTAAAGAGTAATAACTATTCTGTTTAACTTATATTTATAAATGGCAGCAAATCACAAAATATTTTTGGGAAAATAAAACTCTCTCAACTGAAATCTGAAAACTTTCGCTTAAGGCTTCGCTCTTGTCCTCCACTTTCTCTGTGGTCTCATTTCATTAACTTCCGGGTAAGCTACAAGAAGACATCTTGAGTGACTTCGCCTCCAAGGACCGCTCTTTGAGCCCCATATCGCCATAATCACTTTCATTGCCAGAGAGACAAAGCGACAGAGAGACGGAGAAAGAGAGAAAGAGCTGGTAAACCAAGCTTAAATTTGGCATTACTTACTTTTTTTCTTGGTTATTTTGTAAGCAAAAGATGTGAATTTTGGTCGTTGGCTAAAAAGGAAGCGGGAGCGGGAAATGCAATAACTTCCTTATAGACCAAAAACTTTATGGCTGCGACAGCAGCTGCACTCGAGTTACTATCAAACCCCCTTCCAGAAACCCCCTCCGGCATTCGCCGGCATTCACAATGTTATTGTATTATAATGGTCTCTGGCGCGGACCAAGGCTGCTTGGGGATCTCTGCGTATGTTCTATTTTTTAAGATATGCAAAATAAGTTGCAGTTGCTTTCGACAAAAGCAACTTGCAGACACAAACACATCAGACATTGTGGAAAAATAACTATAAATGTATATGCTATATACATACGGGGTATATTTGTGTTGGGCTGAGTGAAAAGTTTGTTGGGTACGCAGGAAAATTATAATTCTTCCTCTCTAAACAAAGACTGGCCCAAGGAGGAAAGGACATGCTGAAAGAGCAGCAGCAGCCAACTGAGTGGCAGTAACTGTTGGCTTCTCTATATGACAGTTTCCAGGAAGTTTTTCATTTCCTCCCACCCCAACCCCACGAAGCTCAAATAAATTGCCCTAGATTTTTCCATCCTTTTTCTATATAAATATTTCTATATTTTCCTTTTTAAATGCTTGTTCCTAATGACTTTTATGTATCGGAGTGCAGGTCAAATTAAATGGGGATAATTGAAAAGCTCATTTGATTATTTATGTAGCGTGTGTCACGGTTACTTGTACCAATTAATTGTTCAATTATTTCAATATTCCTTTCATATTTATTAGCCGCCGAATTAAATCACTTTTAATTACAGGTTAATGAAAACAATGCATTCTACATTATTGTTAAAATAAATGGCTGTTAATATTATTTTTTGTTACTAATGAGAGATGTGGCATTCGGCTTATTTGTCTGAAACTAATGATTATTTAATGTTCCCAAATGCTTACCATTTATTCATACTAACAATGATTGATATCGGAAATTATTGAAGTACAATTTATAATTAAAAGGAAAATCCTTTGTGTTGGAGCTTTTTCATAGCGATAGCCTTGCTGCCGCCTAAGATTACGCAAACTAAACAAACGCAACAGCTTAAAATGTTTCTCAAACAGGAACTTTCCAAAGTTTCATGTTTTGTTTCGCCCGTTTTACGGCGGGAAACTCCCTTTCTAGTTCTCTCCGGCTTTCACTATTTCATTTTCCAGTCGAAGAAATATTCGCACATAGTTTCGCCAGGTGGAATGCGCTAAAAGTGCCGGCAGGTAAAAATAATTGCGATTATACTCGCTATTTTTCCGCACAGCAGCACTGGGCCAACACCCAAAGGTAGTGATGGTGATGGTGATGGGGATTTGTGAAGTTGGTTGGGGAGTTCACCTGCTCTGGACAGACAGAAGATGGAGCGAATAACTCTAGTTGGCTTTAAGGGTGAGTTTGTTTGAGTTTGTTTTGCTTTTATTTACCATTTGGCACACCATTTGCCGAAGTTCTTTAACTGTATATAACTTTTATTAGCTCAAATATTAATAAATACTTTAAAAACCAACAACTAATTGTCTAAATTAAGAACTTTATCATAAAACGCTTCGTGAATAAAGTCAGTAAAGGTTTTAATTAAACAAATATTCCTTTTATTGAATGCTTGTTAATGAAAACAATGCAGCCTATATCATTTGGAACATAAATGGTTTTTAATATTATTTGTTATTCGTGCAAAGAAGAGATTTTGACCCAATTACAAGGAATATTTCTACCACCCAATTTATATTTATTTTTGCATTTATTTGTTCTTTGAAAACTTTCATTTGACTATTTGAATTTTATTTTATTTTTGGACAGCAGAAACCGGCTCAATTAAGCTGATGACCAATGGAGAGCACTGATTGACAGATTGATAGGCAATAAACTGCGTCACATGTGGCGTATGCGTAATTTGATAGTCGAAAGGCGTATCGTGTGCCCTCAGTTAAGCACCACCTTGGTGCTTTTCCTGATTGCTTGTGGTGGCTTAATTAAAAGCTGGCAAAGTTTGCCGCATTGTTTGCAATTTGGTATCCCATTTTTGTCGTCGTCAACATGATGATGATGATCATCATTAGCATCCTGCGCATCTGGTCGGGCTCTATACGCCATTGTTCGTTGAATTAGGTTTTGTGTGAATGGACTGCAGTTGTCGCTTATCCTTATCTGCCGCTTGTCCTTGTAATTATCAACAGACAACTAAGGTGTCCTCTGCCCCAAGCTCTTAGGCCATTGTCTTGCCTTGTGGATTCAAATCGCGAATTATGCTTTCCACTCGGCTTACTTTGGCCAACTGGCAGATAAGACATGCCAGGAAGAAGCTTTCCAGCTTTAAGAGTGCACCATCTTTAATTAGTGAT